GGCGGTCCCCTCAGCTCCGGGCCCGTCCCGCGCGTCTCCTCGCCTACGGGCCCCGGTCCGCCCGCCGCGTCTCCTCAGCCCTCGGCCCCGTCCCCGCGCCCGTCTCCCAGCCTCGGCCCGTCCCGCGCGTCGTCTCAGCCTCGGGCCGTCCCCGCGCGGTCTCCTCAGCCTCGGGGCCCGTCCCGCGCGTCTCCTCAGCTTCGGGCACCGCCCCCGCGCAGTCTCCTCAGCCTCGGGACCGTCCCCGCGCCGTCTCCTCAGCTTCAAACGGCCCGTCACCCGCGCGTCTCCTCAGCTTCCGGCCCTCCCCCGCGCTCTTCAGCTTCCGCCCGTCCCACCGCGCGTCTCCTCCAGATTCACGGCCCGTCCCGCGCGTCTCCCTCAGCTTCGGGCCGTCCCCGGGCGTTTCTCAGCTTCCGGCCGTCCCCCGCGCGTCTCCTCAGCTTCACGGCGCCGTCCGCGGCGGGTCTCCTCAGCTTCCGGCCGTCCCCGCGCGTCTCCTTCAGCTTCCGGCCCGTTCCCCGCGGCGTCTCTTCAGCTTCGGGCCGTCCCGGACGGTTTCCTTCAGCTTTGCCTGTCCCCCCTGCAACGTTGCCCAGCTTTGCCCATTCCTCCTTCAGTGACGTGAGCTTCCACGCTGGGTGTGAGGGACCCGACTGGGCCCTGGGATGTTTCACACCGGAGCCCCGTTGCTCTGGGGCTGGCCTCCAGTGGAAGGCTTCGTCTCACTGGTTCGTGCTGGCTGTTCTGGAGCTCTGAAAATCTGTGGGAGACTGAAAGCAGATGACCAGGCGCTTGGTGGCACCGAAGGTGTCTGAGGACAAATCCAGGCACTGGACGTCGTAACCTGATTGTTAACCATCAATAAAGGCTCCTGGAGGACCGAGTAGGCCGTGGTTCTCTCACCCCTTCTGTGTTTTGAATAATTAACATAAAAGGGCGTTTTTTTTAAAAAATCTGGAGGAAACGGATGGTCACAGAGAGGTAGGTGTCTGCTTGGGTCAGTGCCAAGAGCGCTCCTGGGAAGCCTGGGGAGGGCCATGCAGGCCGGTGCTAGTGGGAGGCAAGGCCAGGGCAGAGCTCGGTTTTGCTGTCACCTCCCACAACACAGGGTGGGGGTGAATAAACGGTGCAACCCGTGTGGACACTGCAGGTGACAAAATCGTCCCATCCCTGTCCCCTGGGCACGGTCCAGTTGCTCAGCACTTAGGCAACCCACTCGGGATGCAAGCCCAGGCTTTCTCCTTCCCCTGGCGCCCAGCCTGAGCTGCTGGTGGTCCACTTGCCCTTCCCCTCGGTGGGATCCCTGTTCAGGCCAGAAACTCTTCTGGCTGCTGGACTCCCGGAGGGCACCCTCTGTGGCGCTGTGGGGGTGGGGTGTTGGGGGCTGTGGGGTGTTGGTGGGATTGTGTTCCTTCTGCTATGCGTTTTGGTTCTGAGGTGGGGCCAGCGGCACTGTACGCTAGAGGGAGGCACCTCTGGGTCCTCCCAGCCAGGGGAGTGAATGAACCAGGAAGCCCCAGCTTCGTCCACCATGGCAGAGGGGCTGCCTGTGGGCAGTTCCAGAACCATCCATCAGTGTGAGGCTGTCGGCCCCAGGATACGGACGATCCCCCCACTCTGTTCAAACCCCTCGAATCCTGTTTCCTGTCATGTTGGGTCAACTTCACTATGAATTTGGAAGTCTAAGAAAATTACAAAACGAAACAACATCGTGAAAGTGAGCATCAGATGCCACCGTGCCTGAGTCGGCCTGTCCGTTCCTTCCGCACGGGCGCCCTCTCCCAGCTGCTGCCTGGCCGATGTGTGGCTGGAGTCCACCCCTGCTCCTTGGGGACACGGCCTTGCTGTGGACTGAGTGTGTCCTCACATTCATGGGTTCAAGCCCAGAGCCCCAGTGTGACGGGACTGGAGTGGGGTTCTGGGAGGTGACTGAGGTTTCGATGAGGCCGTGAGGGGCCTCGTGAGAAGGGAATTCATGCCCTTGTAATAAGAGGCTCCAGGTGACCGTGGTGGTAAACAGTCACACACTGTGAGAAAAAAGAGACGACAGAGCCGAGCGTGCCAGCTCCCCCTGCCCTGGCCACCCGCCGGGGCAGGACACCCTGGGAAGGCAGCTGCCTGCAACCCAGAGGGGGCCCTCGTGGAGCTCGTCCTGCTGGCACTCAGATCTCAATGTCATTGTTTTAGCTGCTGGGTCTCTGGGGTTCCGCAGGGCAGTCCAAGAAGGCTGAGACAGTGCTTATAGCGAAATCCTGAGAAACCCTTGCTTTCCACCCTAGTAGAACAAACCAGATACGCTGCAAAATGATCGTTGTTATTTTGACCACTCATCCTCAAGTTCTAACAAAATGATAATTTTTAAAAGAACAGAATAGGTAAATGTAACACATCAAACTTGAAAGCATCTGGAAGAAGTGTAGGTCCCAGCACTTCAGGAGGCTGAGGTGGGAGGACTGCTTGAGCCCAGGGGTTTGAGACCAGCCTTGGCAACATACCGAGATTCCATCTCTACCAAAAATACCAAACTTAGCTGGGTGTGGTGGTGCGCACCTGTGGTCCCAGCTACTAGGGAGGCTGAGGCAGGAGGATCACTTGAGCCCAGGAGGTCGAGGCTGCAGTGAGCTATGATTGTACCACTGCCCTCCAGCCAGCCTGGCAACAGAGCAAGGCCCTTCGAGAAGAAAAAAAAAAGAAAGAAAAGAAAAGGCCAGGCACAGTGGCTCACACCTGTAATCCCAACACTTTGGGAGGCCAAGGTGGATGGATCATGAGGTCAGGAGATTGAGACCATCCTGGGCAACAGGGTGAAACTTCGTCTCTACTAAAAATACAAAACAAAATTAGCTGGGTGTGGTGGCGGGCGCCTGTAGTCCCAGCTACTCAGGAGGTTGAGGCAGGAGAGTGGCGTGAACCCGGGAGGCGGAACTTGCAGTGAGCCGAGATCATGCCACTGCACTCCAGCCTGGGCGGCAGTGCCAGACTCCGTCTCAAAAAAAAAACAAAAACAAAAACAAAAAAAACAAAAAAAGAAATACAGATGTGAAGAAACACAGGTAACATTCCTAAGAGCACAAGGCACACATGACACCCAGGCTGAGCCTCCAGGGGTCTGGGAGATGGGGCCGGGCAGAGAGCGCCTGGTGCATGGGGGCCCCGGAGGGCAGGGGCTGCGGGTGGGGACAGTCACACGTGGGAAGCCACCGGCCTCGCCCCAGGGCGTCACGCTCAGGGGAAGGCCCAGCTGCAATGATGTAATTGATGCATGCAGGGAAAGTTTCAGGAGAAAGAGGTTTCACATGGGTTCAAGCGTCTTCCCCTCAATATTCAATTACAAAGTGGGGGGCAGGTGGCCAAGTGCAGGTCAGGACCAACGCCTGATGGGACAAACTGGCATTGGGTGCTGCCGGCGGCTTTGAGGATCCCCAGCAGTTCTGTGTATTTTCCAGTCCAATGCCCACGCTCCGGAGAAACCCAGTGAGGGCGTCCCCCAATCGCTGTCCAGAACCTTCTCTACACCAAGGTTGTGAGAGTCCCTGAGAGGCAGGGGGCTCTCCCAGGAGGAAGGAGCATGAACGCTGAGGCCCTGCACCAGGCAGGGAGCCGTGCTGCTCGCTGATCCCGGGGGCTGCGGTGTGGACTGGGACAGACAGCCCGCCTGCCGGAACAGACAGAGGGTGCCGAGAGGGACGGCAGAGGGTTGCCAGCTCACTCTGAGGTCAGGAAAGAGTTATTTGAATGGCACTTGCAACTTTTCAAGCTGGAAATGTTTAAAATAACAAATACCAGTTACAGATAAGCACCGTTTCTGAACCCACAGTTCCACATTGGAGAATCAAATCCCACAAAAATGTTTGTCCCAGAAAGTGCAGTCTGATAGACAAGACTTAATCCACAAACCAGACACAGTGCCAGGAGCTGGCATCACGGAGCACCCGTGGCTCTTCCTGGAGCATGAGGAGTCCAGCTCCCCAGGACGGTTCGAGAGCACAGGTGGCATCCCCAGAGGGAGCAGCTGCCTTTCCTGATCACCTGTGTATTCTTTTGCTTGTAACAAGGAGCATGAGTCAATCCTGTAATTTCTTTTTCTAAAATCTAGGCTGGCGTGGTGGCTCACAACTGTAATCCCAGGACTTTGGGAGGCCAGGGTGGGTGGATCACCTGAGGTCAGAAGTTTGAGACCAGCCTGGGCAACATGGCAAAACCCTGTCTCTATTAAAAAAATACAAAATTAGGCCGGGTGCGGTGGCTCATGCCTGTAATCCCAGCACTTAGGGAGGTCCGGGTGGGCAGATCACGAGGTCAGGAGATCGAGACCAGCCTGGCCAACATGGCAAAACCCCGTCTCTAATAAAATACAAAAAAGTAGCCGGGTGTGGTGGCAGGAGCCTGTAATCTCAGCTACTTAGGAGCCCGAGGCAGGAGAATCGCTTGAATGTGGGAGGCGGAGGTTGCAGTGAGCTGAGATCGTGCCCCTGCACTCCAGCCTGGGTGACAGAGCGAGATTCTGTCTCCAAAAAAAAAAAAATTTTAGAACAAAAATGTAAAGGAGGGAAATTCCAATAGTCGAGTTGCTGTTTCCGTTTACACGTTGAACTTGATGAGCAGGGGTGTCAGATCTGCTTCTCTGGGGCAGAAGAGGAGCCGTGCGTGGCAGGCCCGGGGACCATGCAGCCTCTCGGCCACCCAGGTGCACGCACCTGGCCCCTGCTTGGTCAACTCAGCCCTCGGGTCTCTTCCTGACTAGGAGGCAGCCATGTCCTGGTGGTCTCTCTAGTGGGTGAGGACAGGCGGTCACAATCCTCAGCCGCAAGCCATTGCAGGATTACGAGATGTGGTTCTGACCCTCCCTGCCCCCAGAACCCCCGCCCCCAGCCTGGCGGCTGGATGCTGAGCCTCTCGTGGGACGTGGGGCTGGGGTGAGGTTTCCTGGAGGCCACACGGGCTCAGCTGTCTCCGCAAGGCCTCTTTTCCTGTTTGCTGCCATGTTCAGCAAGGCCACGTCCATCCCCCCACACCCTGTCGAAGAGGACCCAGTTCAGCTTGGAGTAGCCCCAGGCCCACGCAGGAAGGAAGGAATCAGGGTCGGTGTGAGCCAGCGGGTCTGAAGCCTTCATGGTAAATATTTTGTGATGCTTCCTTTTCTATCTAGAAATGAAATTCAGTTCTTATAAGCTTCACATATAATTTTAGGGAAAAAATATCTAAGGCCCCAAAATATATAAGCCCCAAACTGTGGTATAACAGAAAAATAAAAATAATTTATAGCAAAATGTTGTGGATTTCAAGTCCGTGAAGGCTCAGGTGTGCGGATGCCAGATGCAAAACGACCTTCAGGTTTCCCAAAGGCCCCTGGGTTAGTCCGGCTCCCACTGAGAACCTGGGCCTTCAGCCAGCAGGCCGGGCATGGTCCACGTCCCCTGCCCTGTTGACAAGGGTGCAGGCCCCCCAGCGTCAGCCGATGACACCTCGGCAGAGACTCTCTGGTGGTGAGGGGGAACCCGGGGGAGGCCCTGTCTTTCCAGACAAGGTTGACACTGTCTCCCCTTCGCTGATCTCTCTCCCTGGCAGGTGGGTGTAATGCCTGGAGCTACAGCAGCTATTTCATTACTATGAGGCAATGAACATGGAAAGGCCAAGAGAATCACAAAAATGCCAGGCCTGACTCAAGCTCCTGCAGCACCTCCCGAACCTCTGCCTCCAGAGCACATGTCATATGGAAAACTCCGTGTGTTGATGGCGTCATGGTCATGGATCCTGTACTTGCAGGCACACTCCTTTCTCTCTGAGCCTTCCCCAGCGTGTAGAGCCTGTTGGACACAGGAGCACTGGCCCCTGGCCTCTCCCAGCAGCACCACATGCCCTCGGGCTGTGGATAGGACCCCAG